AACTATAGACCAGTGTTAGGTTTAGAGGAATGGTGTGAATTAAGTTCTGGTTCAGGTTAGGGTTAACTATAGACCAGTAATGGTTAGTTTTACTAGTTAGGTTTAGAGGAATGGTGTGAATTAAGTTCTGGTTCAGGTTAGGGTTAACTATAGACCAGTAATGGTTAGTTTTACTAGTTAGGTTTAGAGGAATGGTGTGAATTAAGTTCTGGTTCAGGTTAGGGTTAACTATAGACCAGTAATGGTTAGTTTTACTAGTTAGGTTTAGAGGAATGGTGTGAATTAAGTTCTGGTTCAGGTTAGGGTTAACTATAGACCAGTAATGGTTAGTTTTACTAGTTAGGTTTAGAGGAATGGTGTGAATTAAGTTCTGGTTCAGGTTAGGGTTAACTATAGACCAGTAATGGTTAGTTTTACTAGTTAGGTTTAGAGGTATGCTGTGAGTTAAGTTCTGGTTCAGGTTAGGGTTAACTATAGACCAGTAATGGTTAGTTTTACTAGTTAGGTTTAGAGGTATGGTGTGAGTTAAGTTCTGGTTCAGGTTAGGGTTAACTATAGACCAGTAATGGTTAGTTTTACTAGTTAGGTTTAGAGGTATGGTGTGAGTTAAGTTCTGGTTCAGGTTAGGGTTAACTATAGACCAGTAATGGTTAGTTTTACTAGATAGGTTTAGAGGTATGGTGTGAGTTAAGTTCTGGTTCAGGTTAGGCTTAACTATAGACCAGTAATGGTTAGTTTTACTAGTTAGGTTTAGAGGTATGGTGAGAGTTAAGTTCTGGTTCAGGTTAGGCTTAACTACAGACCAGTAATGGTTAGTTTTAGAGAAAATGTCTGGTTAGGCATAAATACAGTCCTCAGTTTGATGCAAATACAAGGATGTGTGTGCGTGTTTGTGCCTTTGTTTTTGCTACTTGGTGGGGACGATTTTTCAGAAAAAATACAGCTTCGTGGGGACCGGATGCTGTGGGGACCCCACAACTTCGGAGGCTGATTTTGGATGGGGGGTTAGGTTTAGGACCAAGGTTTAGGTTAGTTGTGAGTTTAATTTTAGGGTAAATAGTCAGGGTTAGGATATAAAATTTCCCCCMAAAAAATGAATGGAAGTCGATGGAAAGTCCCCACAAGGATAGAGAGACATAGTACATGTGTGTATGTGTGTGTGTGTATGTGTGCGTGTGTGGTGGTGGGGGGGGGGGACTAGTACTCCCTACGTTGTGGGACAGTTTTTTTTTGGGCATACACACCTACTTGTGAGGACCTAATGTTACTTACATGGACCTGACTGGTACTTATGGGGACCTGAGTCTAGTCCCCACAAGGGGAAACACTGTTGGTGGGTCTGGGGTTAGGTTTAGGACAAAGCTTTATGTTAGTTTTAGGGTCAGGCAGGTACCTGTGAGGTTGAGGTTAGGGTTGGTGGTCAGGGTTAGGCTGTAGAAATGTAATGGATGTCAGTACCAGGTCCCCATAAAGAGAGTTGTACCAGATTGTGCGTGTGTGCGTGTGCGGCTTCACTTACCGCTGCCAGTGTGTTCTTTAAATTGACAACCTGAGGAGAGGTCGGGGGATGCGAGTCGTGATCCAGACACTGTTTTAATCTCTCCCTGTCAGATTTGAGCGAGCTCAGGACCGACTTCATGTTTGTGTGCACTGCAGAAAGAAGAGTCGAACTATAAACTCAGTGTGGATTCATTTCACAACAGCGTAGTTGTTGACACATCGTGTTACCAAATGTCTGATTATCCCCTTAAAGTGCCTGTGACATCATATATTTATAATAAATATAAACATTTTTTGAAAGATAACATTGATGACATATTGTAAAATAAATTTCATGTTGCTGAGATGAACGGTTGTTGAGATATTTGCATGTGAAGTAACAGGAAGTGATGTCAAAGGGGAATGTCTGCATGTAAACAGAGCGTTGTTACAGAGTGTAGAGAAGAATCTGGCTTCTTTAGATTATTTTGAGTTCCTGTCAAAGAGAGATGAAGAAGAGTTAAAGTTTAAATAATATTGTTTTAATAAACAAAGACCAGGGAGTATACTTTATTAAAGTGTTCCCCTTTGATGTCACTTCCTGTTTCATTTTGGCTGAGGCAAAGTCAAATGGAAATAGGCCAGTTATGTGACAAAATGGGTAAAAAATCATGTGTATTATGGTAATTTTCTTCAGTATAAAGATATTTTCTTTGACATTTTGTATTTTAAGGACAGGCATGTCACAGGGCCTTTAAACTCAGCAACACTGCTTTGGAAACAAAACAAAACAGGAGTTACATTTGCTGTGTGAAGCTGACACCCCACCCACACAAAAAATAAGAACTAGTAAGCGGATTGGTTAGTGCTTCGTTTGTGCAGGTTTGTGCAGTTAAAATGAGCGTTTGTGCTGTTATAGTTTT